AAAGGCGTCTGGGTGTACGAAGCGGCATGAGGCAAGGTGTTTTAGTGTTTGTATACGAACACTCGAGCTTTTTCTGTTACGAACGTCCGTACTTTTTATTCCGAACACCTTTCATTCCAAACATCCGGAAAAACGTTTTTATGCTATATAGACCCGATTCCGAGCATCCCGTCACTTGGTCGGATGTCCGGAAGACCGAGGACGAAAAAGGACAGCCCCGAAAGATCAATGTGTATGTAAAAACTGTCAGACTTCAGACTAATGATTTTCTTAAAAACTCTTATTTAAAAATAAGAAAAGGGTAAATTTCTGACAGTTTTAAAAGAAAAGTCAATAAAAAAATTTTGCTTTCAATTCCGGCCTCGGCAAAAGAATTCCTATAGTCCTAGGTTCAACCGTATCTATTCAAGAGACAAATTTCTCTTCATCAGAATAAAATATGTATAAGTGATAAATAGTTTGAAAAGACACTTTTGTTTTCGTTTTCTTTCCCTTGTTTTTTATTTCATCGACAGTAGGAAGACGTACGAGACTGTAATATTGGACAATTGACTTAACAGTTTTCCTCCTCCGACTTACTATCATCATCCTGTTTTTCGTACCATTTAAAAGATCTTTCTTTAGTGCTAATTATTTTCTTGATTGATGGTGTTAACCTTTCATTCTTGATCTCTTTACACTGATTGACTGAACGATTGATGATATTTTGCAACGTTTATTTTCTACTTCTTTTTCAATGATTAATTTCATTGTTAATGGTAAATGCATGTGCTCTATCGAACATATACGGATGTTTCCTTTCATGACGATTTTGTATCTTTTTTGATACTGGTTCATCTTTGGTTTTCTCGATAATTCTTTCATTTTGTTTCATTCTTTTTCCAAATCTCATTTTCATTTCATAATTGTATCCGACACCACACTCACATAATATTTCCAAAAAAACTGATTTTTGTTTTGTTTTTAATGCGTGTATTGAATGGTATGATTAAATTCTGTTTAAACAAGCGGAGAATAGTTTGACCTGTAATTGATCTAATTTTCTTTTCAATACTTCAATTTGAATTTTTTACAATTTTGTAATTTTTTCAAAATTATCTCGTTAGTCTTTGATATCTTTTGTTGTTTCAATAATTGGTTATGATAACTTCTCATTTTGTTGATCTGTGGTGACATGAATAATAGTTGAGTAATCGGCTTTTGTCTCTTACTGAGGACATCTAATGAACGGTATTGTTCCACTGTCAATGTAAATAAAAAAGGAAGAAAAAAGTACAAATAGAAAGTATGTATAATAAGGCCGTCATTATATAATTATCTTAAAGAAAGTATGTGGTTTTTTTTTAAACTTTTTATCACTTGTACATATTTTGTTCTAATGAAGAAAACTTTGTCTTTTGAAAAACTTCAACAATAAAAATAAATAAAAATAATAAAAACAAATTTAATCAATTCAAAATGACATTCCTCATATGTAATCAATTTGTTAAACAGTTTGGTCTACTTTTTGTGAGCAATCATTATATTGGAAAAACCTTCCACCGTATTTCTACAAAAAAAAAACTGAAAGAAAAAAAAAGGAATGTATTGAAAACTAATTAGATTAATCTAAAATGTAATCAGTTATTTTAAACTTCTGTCGATTAATCGTAATTCAACTCTTTTCTCTAAAATCACTTGTTTCAATTGATCTAAATGACTATTTATATTGTGTTCTATATATAACAATTACTGCAATGATTTTGTATCACTCATACGTTTCAGAGGATGTTTTATTTCTGGTTCATTTGAAGACGCAATATAACTATCACTATTTGATTTATCTCTTATGAATGATGGATGCGACGATTGCTGTTGTGAAGATTGTACATTTTCATCTGTTGTTGTTTCATATTCCATTGTAACATCATCATCATTCGTTTCTTGTCTCGTTATATCATCATCTAATCTCATTAATGTATCACATGTTTGTACATCTGGCTCAATTCCAATTTGTTGATTAGTGAGTAACGGTACAACCAGATCATCATGTTCTGGTCCATGTTGTTGTTGATGTTCTAATTTTGGTTGATCGTTTCGTGATGTTGGCTCTCTCGATGGACAATTACAAAATATATTCAGTTTTTCTAACCACGAACGTCGTCGAAGAGGATGAGAGACCGTGGGCTCCGGATGTCGTTGTTCTAACTCTGGATGTTGATAATTCACTTTGAGTTCTTTCTTCGCTCCTTTATCTTTAGAACTAGCACGATGACGTCGAGTAAAAGACATTCGAAATGTTGACAAACGTGTTGAAAATGTTTCTCCTGAACTTCGTCTCACGTTATCTGTACTGGATATCCATGTTGTTCGTTGAAGTTGTCTTAGCACTTCTTGACGAATTTCCGTATTGAAATAAAAATAAATCAATGATGTAAAAAATCCCTTAAATAAAAATTAATTTTATTTCATACATTTATTCTATTTTTATAATAATATTAGTTACCTGTAGATCACCAAAAACAGCTTTAAACATGATGGCTATATAAGTCCAAATTGTATAACCTTTATCGTGTCTATAAAATATCCACATAACAAATATTGAATGAAGACCGAATAATGGAATTAAAATGAGAATGGATTTGATAAGATGTCTAAAAATAAAAAATTGTAAATAATCAATTAATGAGTAAGAGATATACATGTCGAACCTATTCCCTGATCTATTTGTTTGCATAGTGTTTGATTGATATTTTGAGTATAATAAACGTACAAGAAATAAGAACACAGCAAAATTCAACAACATATAAAAGACATATGGAACCCAAAAGAAGTAATAGTATACAGCCGTTTGATCATATTCTAACCAACAAGTAGTTCGATGTCGACGTCTATCGGCAAACCAATGTGAGATTGTCCAACAGGCTACCCAAATGATGGGACTTAACCATCCGTATAGGACATAGGGAACAATACCACGACTTTCTCGAAATACATGAATTGTTAATGCCGTGAACAAAAACATTGCTTCACAAAATACAAATGTATTTGAAATAGCATCCGTGTACCAGTAGAGCGAGGCTAATAAACGACAACCAAATACCTATAATTAAAATCTTAACTGTATTGTATTCTTCTAAAAATCATTAAACTGAGCATACATGACCAAACTTTGTTGATTTTGTTTGTACTTCAATATTTCCGCATTTATCCGTTATATATGTCACCATTGGGTAAGTGTAACCGCCGATAATTAAATGAATGAAGATAAGTTTGATAATACAACGTAGAATAAATGCAACAAATAAATTCATGTGTAAAATATTTCGTGGGACGTGCAAGCGTCTAAATGATTTATTAGTCAATCTTTTATTCGTATGTGAAAAATGTAACGGTATTTGAAAACAAAGTAAATAGAGTCGAACAATATACCTCACATTTAACATACACAATAGTGCAATTGTCAACGATATCATTGATATACTTAAACTAACAGTTTCAACATAAATACTAATTTTTTTGAACTAAATAAAAGCAAATATATTAATCAAATAAGCATAGACACTTTGATCATCATTAAATGGATATTAAGGGCCCCGCCCCTCAGAAATTATCTCCTACACCGTGCATCCGATCTTGACGAAACTTTCCATAAATGTTCGGCACAATGAGTTACTGGAATGAAAAAAGTTTTTTGTCTTCAAGTCTTACGGTTTAGGAGTTTTCCAGAGATCAAAGTCCAAAAAGGACCCTGAACGGCGTCCCAAGATTTTTTAATATACTTCAAGCTGGAGAGTTCGGGTTTGTTTTATTTTAAACTAGAC